AGGATAGACCCCAAGCAGGCTGAAATGTTGCGGGAATAGTGGTATAAGCAAGCTGAGGGTGCAGGACCGTAAAGAATGTAGCAGATGTATCCAAAGAAGCGAAAACAGAGCTGCATGAGAGAGACCGAGGGGGCTGTCCCCCGAGCCTCTTGTCCGACGTGACCTTTTTTTTTTTTTTAAATTTTTCCCCTAACGTTTATTTATTAGAGACAGAGAGACACAGAGCATGAGCAGGGGAGGGGCCGAGAGACGGACAGACACAGAATCAAAAGCAGGCTCCAGGCTCTGAGCCGTCAGCACAGAGCCCGACACGGGCCCGAATTCATGAACCGTGAGATCATGACCTGAGCCAGAGTCGGGCGCTTAACCAACGGAGCCACCCAGGCGCCCGTGTTTATTTATTTTTGAGAGAGAGAGAGAGCACGCAGGGGAGGGGCAGAGAGAGGGGAACAGAGGATCCAAAGCAGGCTCCGTGCTGACAGCACACAGCCCGATGCAGGGCACGAACTCAGAAACCGCGAGATCGTGACCCGAGCGGAAGTCGGATGCTCAACCGACTGAGCCACCTAGGTGCCCCAGATGTGACTTAACTTCGTGAGCAGCGAAGCAACAGGATCAGACTTAGGGTTACGGATGTGGGCTCTGGTCCCAGACTGCCTGGCTTTGAACTCATTAGCTATGTGATCTGGAGCAAGTTTCTTAACCTCTGTGTGCTTTAGCTCTCTCATCTGTGAAATGGGAATAATAAGCACTGACCTCACAGGGTTGTATGAGGATTAAATGAGAAAATACAGGTAATGCATTTGGAACAGCAAGGTTCCCTGTCAGTCTTATTTTTGAACAGTAAACAGTTCAAGTGTTATTCTATCATAAACCTTTCACTCATACTCTTATCCCCTGCCTTTAAGAAGGGACAGCACCTGGAGTGCCTGGGTGGCTCAGTCGGTTCAGCGTCTGACTTCAGCTCAGCTGATGAGCTCGTGGCTCGTGAGTTCGAGCCCCGCGTCCAGCTCTGTGCTGACAGTTCAGAGCCTAGAGCCTGCTTTGGATTGTGTGTCTCCCCCTCTCTCTCTGCCCCTCCTCAACTCACACCCTGTCTTTCTCTGTCTCTCTCAAGAATAAAAATAAAAAAAAGGACATCACCTTCTCTTCGTCCTCTTGCTACCCTCCCAGGTCACTCCTTCTCAGTCTCCTTGCTGGTTCCTCTTTATCTTCTTGACCTCTTCTCCTCTACATTCACTTCTTAAGTGAACTCACCTGGATGTCTAGGGCCCTTCAGTACCTAAAAATATCATTTCTTAGCTAATAGTTCTCATACCAACTCTAACTTCTTCCCCAACTCCAGACTTCCACATCCAATCACTTGACGTTTGCATTCAGAGCTCCAACGGGCATCTCAGACATAACTTGCCCCAAACTGACTCTTACCCTCCCCCCACAAAAAAGAAAAAAATAACCACCCAAAATCAAAACAAACGCCTGCTCCTCCTCTCATCTTCCACAGATCAATAAATGGCTAACCCTTCCAGTGTTGATCAAGCTAAAAATCTTAGCATCATTCCTGACTCCTTTCTTCTTCCTGTGCCCACCGCCAGGCCATCAGCAAACATCCAGAAAGGGGTCTTCCCTTGCTGCGTCCACTGTGTCCCCAGGGTAGTAGGCACCTTCGTCTCTCTGCTGTGTGACTTTCAGTTTACCTCTTCGGGCCTCTGTTTTGAGGATGAAGTGAATTATTATTTGTAAAGTGCCTAACGGTGTTCATCACGTAGGAAACCCCATTTAAGTGCTTTTTAAATAAATAAAACATGCCTTAAATAGCTTTCTACCGGCCCTAGCCCCCTACAGTCCATTCAGAACACAGCAACCTCCTGATCTGCTCAAGCCTAGGCCTGATCGTGTCACTGCTTGGTGTCCCTCCGACCTCAGCTTCCAGGGCTCTCCCCCTAGATAAACTGGGCCGCCCAGTCCATGGGCCTCCTTGGTCCATGAACACACCAGAGACTGTCCCCTTTGGGTCTGTGCCCTATCTGGTTCTTGTGCCTCCCTGTGATCAAATGTTACTTTCTAAATTAGCCCTCCCCTTGCCCCACTTGGCTAATCTGCCTGCCTATTCCCTCGCCCTGAGTGTTCTCCACCTCAAATCACCACCTGACACGATGTTTACTTACCAGGTGATTGTCTTTCCTCCAAGGGTCCACCTCTATCACGTCATGGACTGGGACTGTCAAATTCATTACTCTATCCTTAGAGCCTAGAACAGTGCTTAGTATACAGTAGGTGCTCAATAAATGCTTACCAACTGAAAAAATTCTTAAGTCCCTCTCTCTTTGAATTCCCGTAACACAGGCCTTAATCACTTACTTGTATTGATTTTGATGCCAGTGGCAGCTTTTATTTGACTCTGAGCTCCCTGAGGATGGGGGCCTAGGACATGGCCTGACCTGTGGTAACAATTCCCGCCATTTGTGCAACACTAACCAGTTACAATCCTGTCGCAGCTGACCTGATTTGATTCTCACAAAATAGAGTGAGCAAGCCAGGGAGGGCAGGTATTATCAGCACGGCCAGAATCCTAGTTCTGCTTTCTAGACCAAGCTCAACAGATAGTTGAATGGAGCGAGTCAGAGAGAAAAAAGGAAAAGGAAAAAAAAAAACTTTCTGAGTCACTCTGTGGAGTGAGGCAACCCCACTGGGCGACTGGGCTGGTTCTCTGTAGCACATTTAAAAACACTCGTAAACGCCTAACATTTCCTGAGTCCAGTTTTCTAATCTCTACCTGCGGGGTCCTCACAGCTACCTGCGGCAGGTAGCTCTGAGGGCATCTTCACGTCGAGTGCAACTCTCTTTCGGTGCCCCCAACAGGGCCTGGTATACAGTGGGCGCCCAATGAATGGCGTGGCCTAGGGCTCCTTTTTTTTTTTT